GCAACGCGCCTTCTTCTCGCAATCGCATCACTGCCCTGCTCCCCCCCCTTCCTCCAACCCTCCTACTGATCTCGTCGGCCCGAGATTCGGCGACGCGCCGCCGATCCGATCGATGCTCGAGCTCATAATTCTATTGCTATCAAGTGGCGTCTTTCGGTCCTTACCGATTGTTGCACGCGAGGCCGTTCCACGCTCAATGCTATGATTTTCTTCCTTTTTTAAACAAAACAAGAAAATTCTTCAGGGGCCAGCAGGTGGCCCCAACTGGCTTAAACTAGCGGCCAGGAAGGCTTGCTCTGTAGAGTGCTGCGCGTGTCGGGCAGCTATCTCCTTGGCTGCAGCCCGAGAAATCGTGGGTCGCCCGCTGGCCCCTGGAGAATTCTCGAGATCCTCGCAAAGAGCGTCGAACGTCGTCGCGCGCAGTATTTCGATAGTTACAAAACATGAAAAAGATCAAATATGGCAAAACCATCCTAAACCAGCATGATATACTAAAACAAAATAAGAACAAACACCACGTTCTTAAATTAAGATCCTGGCGGCCCCTGGGGTTTGGGATTCGTCACCGGATCCAGCGGATCCAGCGGATCCGTCCGGAAACGGTGCCGGAGGCCGCTCTGGGCTCCTCTGGGCATCCCCCCCGGGGCCCGTTTTGTGAGGATGTCTCAGGCGAGGGCGCCGGTTTGGGATTCGTCACCGGATCCAGCGGATCCAGCGGATCCGTCCGGAAACGGTGCCGGAGGCCGCTCTGGGCTCCTCTGGGCATCCCCCCCGGGGCCCGTTTTGTGAGGATGTCTCAGGCGAGGGCGCCGGTTTGGGATTCGTCACCGGATCCAGCGGATCCAGCGGATCCGTCCGGAAACGGTGCCGGAGGCCGCTCTGGGCTCCTCTGGGCATCCCCCCCGGGGCCCGTTTTGTGAGGATGTCTCAGGCGAGGGCGCCGGTTTGGGATTCGTCGGATCCAGCGGATCCAGCGGATCCAGCGGATCCGTCCGGAAACGGTGCCGGAGGCCGCTCTGGGCTCCTCTGGGCATCCCCCCCGGGGCCCGTTTTGTGAGGATGTCTCAGGCGAGGGCGCCGGTTTGGGATTCGTCACCGGATCCAGCGGATCCAGCGGATCCGTCCGGAAACGGTGCCGGAGGCCGCTCTGGGCTCCTCTGGGCATCCCCCCCGGGGCCCGTTTTGTGAGGATGTCTCAGGCGAGGGCGCCGGTTTGGGATTCGTCACCGGATCCAGCGGATCCAGCGGATCCGTCCGGAAACGGTGCCGGAGGCCGCTCTGGGCTCCTCTGGGCATCCCCCCCGGGGCCCGTTTTGTGCGGATGTCTCAGGCGAGGGCGCCGGTTTGGGATTCGTCACCGGATCCAGCGGATCCAGCGGATCCAGCGGATCCGTCCGGAAACGGTGCCGGAGGCCGCTCTGGGCTCGTGCTCTTCGCGCCGGGGGTGAGGATGACGTGAGTTCCACAGAAACTCCCTCAAACCAAGACAGCCCATGAGGCCCCCAATAGTGCCCCAAGACGGCCCAAGAGAGCTCCGAGACGGCCCAATATGCGCCCCAGAATGCTCAAGAGAGGCCCCTAACAGAGCTCCAAAACGGCCACAGAGGGCTCCAAGATGGCCCAAGAGGCGCTGACGTCTGCTCAAGAGGGCCTAAGAATGGAAAACGAAGCCAGAATTAAAGCCTTCTGCCCCAAGAGGCCCCCAGCAGGCCCTCTTGCCTTCTCGAGAAATTGCCACCCATCGCTGGCACGGTGACAGAAGTGCCAGAGGCAGCTGGATAGACACTAAATCGACGCTCATCGGCGCGGCATCGGCACTTCCTCATCGATTAGCAGACGCTGGCGCACGCTCGCACACTCTAAAAACAAAATGTCGAAGACAGGCAAGACTCCCGTGAATTGCTGTCGAAAACCATGGATGTGCCCCGGTCTCAATCGGGGGGGGTTGCTGGCGCTGAGGCGAAGGCGCCATCCTCAACCAAGGATGTTGCCAGCGCTGCGGCGTGAACGCCATTCCGAGACAAAAACATGTGGCCAGAATGCAATGGTCACACTCGTTTCGCGTGGGCTTAGCTGGATCACCAGGGTCCGGGTCAGGTTGGATGGGTGGTCCTGGTTAGGGGGGGCACAGTGTTGATGACGCGCCGCTGTGGGGTCCGTCAGCGTGTTCATTTTAAGCTTAGGTCGGGCATGTCCTCCTGAAGGTGGATTTTGGGAAAACACATTCTGAAAAGTCAAAGGCATGTTCAAGCAGAGTAGAGCAAGTCGACCCGATACCAGTTGTTGTTACAAGAAAAGATGAACAATCCTCCTGTAGGGGGGGCATGCCCGACTTCATGTTAAGCACCAGTGTTCATAAGGGCTCCCAACTTCGCGCTTCGCGCTGCGCGAAGCGCGAAGTGCGAATAACTTCGCGCTCTCGCGCCGCCTCCCAGGGGAGAAGAGGAGGATGAGGAGGAATCGGAGCCGAACCGCGAAGCGCGAAGCGCGAATAACTTCGCGCCCTCGAGGGCGACCTTGTGTTCAGACCAAACAGAGAGGAACACATACTGACGGGCTCCCAACGGCGCCGTGTAGTTGCTACTGACTTCCCCTCCCGAGAAGGGGACCACCACAGGGCGTAACTTCATCGACGGGATGGCGACAGGAGGAGAGGAAGAGAGGCTATATATCAGGCTTCGTTAGGTGACGACGTCGACGACAGTGTCGGCGTCGACGAAGACTTCGACGACGACGTCGGAAGCGACGACGAAGCCGTGGACGATGACGGCGGAGGCTGCGGCGACGACGACGGCAGCGGCGGCGGCGATCACAGCGCCGATGTCGGTGGCGACGGCGACGTCGACGGCGTCGACACCCAGAGGGAAACAAGACTGAACACTAGGCTCCCCCACGGGACCAACTCCTTATCGTGGGCAGTTGTTTCACGGCCCCGGGAACAGCGGAACGGCCCCGGGACCGCAGAAACGTCGGCGAGGGATGAGGGGATGGGGGCATGCGACCCATCCCCGACTAAGTGGGACTTCCCACTGGCCAGAATATTTCCGGCCCAACTCGGGGATGTACGATGGGGGTGCGCCCAGCATCGACATGGGTGCGCTCAGATAGCCCCTGGGGGTGTATTCGGTAGTTCCCCTTCGTGTCTGGGCGGCCGACAGTCCTGGGGAGCTCGGAGATTAGGGGAACGACACCGCCTGCGACTCCCGGCGCGCCCCGAAGCCAAACGCGCGAGGGCCCTCGTGATGAAACCCTTCAGATCAATCCTCATCGGCTCGGGACGCCGGACCGAGCCGGCTGCCTACAGTCGGCCTCGATTGGACAGGACACGCGAGAGGACACGAGACCCTGCCGAGGGCCACATCGCCACTGGAGTGCAAGAAGGCACGTGTCGCGAGGCACAGGACACGAGGGTACCCTTGACCTGGCAGGGTCGACCTACTAATCTGGGCTGGCTGCCTGTCGGCACGGGGCCGAGGTCGAATCGCCCCCGCTGCGCCAGGCCGCGCTGCAGCGCCGCAACGTAGAAAACGGAGCCAGCAACGGAACAGCATCGGAGATCTCTGAGATCTGGGCGGTTCTGGAGGATGTGTCAGGCGCTGCTGCCGCTCCATGACGTTTGTCGCAGAGCGCTCTGGGGCGCTTTCCGAAGGCTCTGGCGCGCCCTGCAGCGACCCGTCCTGTTCCTGTTCGGTGGCACATCACGGGAGCCTATTTCAGCACTGGTGGTCCTCGTCTTGTGCTATGTAGTGCTGTTTGGGGCCTGTCTGGAATCCTGGGCCGCCTGCGACATCGGAGCCCTACTATCGGGCCGGGCGAAAGGGGGGGATAGCAAAGGGGGGGGTTGAAAATCAGCTCGCGTAGCTGATTTTCCCGGCGCCTCCCGGCGCCGGGAGGCGCCCATGTATCGAGGATCGGGCCCCTCGGTGGGGCCCAAACCAGCTGCATGCAGCAGATTTCGTAGCCCCCCCTTTCCCAATCCCCCCCTTTCGTTCGGCCCGAACCACACCGTCTGGGGACCCCGACGGATCGCCCGGACATCAGAACAGAACCGGACCTAACCAGCCGGGATCGACATCGAGCATCCAGCAGATCGAATCGGTACCCGCCGCTGGCTTCAGGGTTGGAGCATGAAGCGGTACGAGTCAGCCCCGAGAGCGTATCAGCGCCAGGGGGAGGGGAGTTAAGTTCAGTTCTCAGGCCATTCGAATCCGTTTGTGGGTAAATGGAAAGCGACGTCTCTGGCTGGGGCCTGGGCGTTCAAGACTTCGCTTTGCCCCCTGTCCCCTATTCGCCTAGTGTGCAGACATGCTGCTGCTCTAACGCGCTGCTCTGTTCAGCCACGCACGGGGGAAGACTAGGCAAGAGGGAACATCCGACACGGCGACGACGGCGGCCCAGGGGAGCCACGAGGCGAGGAGAGGAAGGGGCCAGCACACGATCCGCAGGCTGACAAATCCAGCCTTGGGGCCCGGCACAGAGGCGCGGCCAAGAGGAGGAGGAGGAGGAGGAGGAGGAGGAGGAGGAGGAGGAGGAGGATCGGCATGGGGGAGCGGCAGACACGGCCAGACGTCGAAACCGAGCCGGCCGGGGTCGACACCGAGGCCAGGACGACCGGGCCAGAGCGGATCTCGCCACCGTTCGGACGTCCCTTCCCTGCGCATTTGTCGGCTTCGTGCGTGCTTTGTTGGCCTGACGGTCGAGGACTTTGTGGGCGCCGGAAACGGCAGGGCCGTTTTTTCACCGTTTCCAGAAACATGTCAGTTGAAAATGGAAACGGCAAAAAAACGACGACCGGCAACGGCAAAAAAACGGCTCCAGGATTGGAACCGGAGCCAGAACTGGTCAAAAAGCGGCGACGGAAACAGTAAAACAACGGCGTCGGAACCGGAGAAAAAAAACGGCAAAACGGAACCGGTAAAAAAACGGCCCTGTCGTTTCCAGGGCCCACTGAGGTCGAGGATGCTTCTCGAGGGCCCCCGCCGAGAAAACATACACATGTCCGAGCGCTGCCAGAGCGGATCCCCGCCTCGGCGAGGGCGGAGTCCGCCGAGGCCCGCAGGCCGAGCAGCGTCCGGTCGAGCGCCTCGTCGGAGGCCGCCTGCCTGCGGGGCGGCGCACAGCCCGGGGGGGGGCGCGGGCGGAGGGCGCCGACACGCGCGTGGCTCTCAAGGGGCCCAAGGACACACAAATAAATACACACAAAATAAAATGATTCCCCCTATTTTTCCATACTTTCTGGGTTTCTGTCTTCCCGCCCAATTCCCATATTTTCCAATATTTTCCTGGGGATCGACGATTAATTGTGTCTGTATGTTTTTTCCCCTCCTGAGATTCTTCCGAGCCTGCGCAGCCCGCGCGCCTCCTCCGCCCTCCCCGGGACGGCCGCGGCCACGGTGGAGCATCGGTGGAAAAATAAAGCTGCGCGTGCGCTTCTTGACTTCCAGCCTCGGCCTCAATACGGCCCCGAGGCGGCTCAAGTAAAACAGGGCTAGGATCGGGATAAATCGCTCCAGAGCGTTCCGGAGCGCTCTCAGAGAGTTCCGGAACGCTCTGGAGCGGCCGCGGCGCCCAATACATCCTCCAAAGCCGCCGATTCTCAGAGATTTCGAGTTATCCCGATCCGATTTTGTCCCGATCTTCGCGTCGTTTTATCAAGGGCTCAAGGTCGTTCCAGGGGCAGGTCAAGAGTCAAGAGCACCCTGCCAAGGCGCGGCCGGCCTGGGGTGGCCGACAGGCCGAAGTCCCCCCACGCCCTGAGGAGCCAGATCGGCCTCCTGAAACACAGGAGGGCGCTCGAAACGTTTTTACCTGAAAAACATCAGAGGCGCACGCCAAAAGTTTATGACTTGGGCAAACGGTTCCTTCACTGCGTGGAGCTCCCCCTGTGTGCGTCTATCTGCATGGACCTTCCCGCCGTGAGCGTTCCAGCGCAAAGAGAATTCGAACATAAACGGGCTCGAGCAGACTGAAAGAACATCTGACTGCGGATGAGTTGGAGTGTGAATGAATCTCAGTAGTACGAGTGAGTCGATGCGCGTGTGTCTAAGCTTAGTGTAAGTATGTATGCACGTCCGTGGCCTGAGCATGGCTGAGCGTGACTGAATCGAAATGGCTACGCGATCGTTCCCTCCATGATAAAACAAATCATAGGGGCCTCATGTAAACGCCGTGCGAACCCCTTGCGCTTCGTTGGCTGGCCCAAGAGATCGCACGCAACGGTTTGACAGGGATACAGCCAACCAAGCCACATGAAGGAGAAACCACGACTGTAGGAACGTACGGAAACCACCTAGGACTGGAGTCACAAGAGAAAACAATATATAGGGACATCCGTAAAACACAAAAAGGTTTAGTGTCCCAAGGGGGAACCAACCTATAGAAAAATATGCAAGCCACAGAAGAAGAGCAAGCTATAGGAGCATACGTGAAACACAAAACGGTTCCGTGTCGCAGGAGAAGCCCATATCTATATGAACATACGCAGCCACTAGGATTGAAGCCAAGCCTGCCTGTGGCCTCCTGGGGCTGCCTGGAGCCTCTTGGGGCCTCCTGAGGCCTCCTGAAACCTTCTGGAGCCTCCTGGGGTGTCATGGGGCCATGTGGAACCTCCTGGAACCGCTTGGGGCCTCCTGGGGCCTCCTGGGGCTGCCTGGGGCCTCCTGAAGCATCTTTTGGAATACCCGTCCGGGACCCGTCCATCAGGAGATACCCGACCCGTAGGAGCATACGTACAACACATAGGATGGAGCCACAGGCAGGGGAGGGGCATTCTATAGGACCAACCATAAAACACTAAGAACTCGTGCCCCAAGAGAGGCCCAATCCACAGGAGCACAAATGTATCACCCAGGGATGGAGCCACAGGAGAGGGGCAATCTATAGGCACACGCGTAAGCACTAAGGATTCGTGCCCCAGGAGAGGCCCAATCTATAGGAACAGTGCAGGAAACTCAAAGGATTGGAGCCACGGGGGAGGGGCAACATATATATATATATATATATATATATCAGGATCATGAGTACAACACAAAAAGGACCCGTGTCCCAAGGGCGGCCCAAAATGTAATAACATAAGGACGCACCCAGGGTTGGAGCCACGAGGGAGGCGCAATCTATAAGGACACACGCATAACACCGAGGATTCGACCTGAACGCAGGCGAGTCTGGCTACCAAAACCAGCAAATCGCTGGAGACATCCTCGCAATCGACCCCTGGGACGCGACAGCCAGCGCCTCGCCCGAGACATCCTCAACATCTGCTCCGAAAGCGGAAGATGTCGGGGCGGTAAAACAGGCACGCCGCTCGAGGCATCCTCGCAGCCTGGGCGCGAACGGAGGAGTGAAGTACCTCCTGGCAGCTCCCCCTTCGGCGTGCTGAAACATATACCTCGCCAAAGAAATCCTCGAGCCTGGCAACCAAACCAAGCAAACCGCTCGAGCCGCTCTCGCAATCTGGGCCCCCCTCCCTTGGATGCGAACCCCAGCGCCGTGGAGGGCGAAGCAAAAAACGCTGCACTCTACTCGCCACGTGGCACCGCAGTACAGTCGGGCTTGATTGGAGAGGACACGCGAGAGGACACGAGACCTTTCCGAGGGCCACGTTGCCGCAGAAATGCAGGAGGCATGGATCGCCAGACACAGGACACGAATGCACCCGTGATCTGGCAGGGTCGACCTACTATTATGTCGGGCGTGTCCCCCTACAGGGGGATTTTCGACGAAACAATAAAACAAATACTCCAAAAATACCCCAAGATGGTCAAAGCATACTCCAAAAATAGTCCCCAGACTATGTTTGGACTATTGTTTGACAATTTTGGGGAGTATTTCTTATGTTTCGTCGAAAATCCCCATGTATGGGGGACAGGCCCGACTTGCACCTGCTGATCCGGGGCGCCTGCAGGGGCGCGCGCCCGATCTCCGGGAAGCCCGCCTGCCCCCCGGCAGCCTTCTCAGAGGAGCTTCCGGGGCGAGAAGCAGCAGGAGGAGGAGGAGGAGGATGAGGAGGAGAGAGAGGGAGGAGGGAGGGAGGGAGGGAGGGAGGGAGGGAGGGAGGAGGAGGAGGAGGAGGGAAAGAGGAGGAGGAGGAGGAGAAGGGGAGGGAAGAGGAGGAAGAGGAGGAGGAGGAGGAGAGGGAAGAGGAGGAGGAGGAGGAGGAGGAGGCTTTTCGAGCGGGGCGCAGCCAACGAAAGGCCAAGGATTGAACGATGAGGCAAGGATGCAAAGGTACCCTTGGGAAGGTTGCCCATCCTTACCATGCGGGTTGACTGTAAGCCGTGCGACGCGCACATGGGCAGTGGAAGGGAGCTAGCGAAAACGGCTGTACTCTCGCGCCGTGCTCTTCCAGACGCGTGCCCGAGTGTAAGCATGGTGAAAAGCACGGCGAACAAACGTCTTCTGCACGTTTGTTTCTGATTTCGAGATCTTCCGCGCGAGTCGCCCGCCTTGACAGGCTCCGAGTTCTTTATTCTAGAGCAGGCCTGCGCGGGCCGATGTGTGCGTGTGCGGAGCGGCGACGTCACGGAGCGGAACACACTGCTTTTTCTTCGACATGTCACGCAGCAACGCGCGGGGAGCCAGACAACAGAAACTACTTTGGCCTGCTCGTCACGTGGCACCACCGTCGAGCGAACGAATATGAATATCCTGCTACTCGCCACGTTGCCACGCTGGGGAAAGCGAGACATAGCCCTCCACTCTACTCGCCAAGTGTCAAAGCTTTGGGGAGGACAAACGAAGACTCCCGTTTTCTACTACGAGCGTGGAAACGCAGCACGGGAAACAAGCCCATTCACCTGGACTCGTCGCGCGGTAGCGCCCGGGGGGCGCACAAGATAGTCCACTCGACGCCCTGATTTTGAAAACGTCCAGCACGCATACTGCACTTGGAGAGGAGTACTCTGTGAGACTGTCGTCGCCGAGAGGCCGCGGAGCAGGAGTACAGAAGGCGAAAGGAGAAGCAGAGAAGGAAGAGAAGGAAGCAGAGTTCCCGAATTGGCCGATCGTAGCTGTGTTTCGCACACCTGCGGAACTCCTGGATTCGGCTCGAATTCCGGGTTCCGGGTCTCGAGTTCCAAACTTCGAGGCTAATTCCGGGTGTCGCGTTCGAGGCGAACTCCTGGTCAGGACCGAACGGGTTCCAGGCTTGGGGCCGATTCCCTGGTTGAGCTCTCAACCTGACGCTACCAGATCCCAGCCTTTCCCAATCCCGCCCCTCCCCCCGGGAAACAAAGAAACGCTTTCTTCGGGGTCTACGCTGGCCCATAGGAGAGAGTTCGGTGGCAACTCATGGGAGCCACCCATACCATCTTGTCGGTTCTTGCGAATCGACGCTCGTCGACGCAAAATCGATGCTAATCGATGCTAAATCGACGCTCATCGACGCTAGCCGACTCTAAACCGGCGTTATCTCATCGACTCCCAGACGCGAATCGACGCTAGTCGACGCTGAAAACGGAATTCAGAAGGCATACCCATACCAGGCCCCCATGACTTGCCACCGAAAGAAAGGGAGGGAAAGGAGAGGAGCCTGGGGCCCAAAGTCTCAGGGCCTGCCAGCTCTTGGCGAGAACTACGCTGCCGATGTGACGGTTGCGCCCATCTCTCCCCCCCTCCAGGTGGAGGGGTGGGGGCCGGCCTTCCTCGCGCCTTCCCTCTTGGCATTTGCAAGCCGACTTTGGACGGAAAATTAGAACTAGTCAAAGAAAGCTCCAAACATTTTCAAACATGGTCAAAAGATACTCCCCAGAATACTTCGTTGGACCATTTTTGAATATTCCCCCTGTAGAGGGACAGGCCCGACTTGAGGGGAGGAGCAAAAGAAGGATGAGGAGGAGGAGGAGGAGCAGGAGGAGGAGGAGGAGGGGAGGAGGAGCAGCGACATCGAGGAGGAGGAGGAGGAGGAGGAGGAGGAGGATATGCTCCTCCTGGGGAGGCAGTCCGTGGACGGTTGGGGGTCGACGCGCTCCCCCCGTCCTCCCCGCGGCCGCTGCCCCCCGCCGAGCGAGGGCGGCGGCCGTCTCGCCGGCCGCCCGCCACGTGGGGGCACCCCCTGGGGCAGGGGAGTGCCCCACTCGCCGTCGCTCGGACGCCCATTTCCCGT